TTAATTATTTTAATAGAATTCCCACAGAATTATTAAATTTAAGTTCAGAAAACTTTAAAACTAAATTTAAGTCGCACCTTTTTAATAGGCAAAATAATACTTAATTAAATGCTTTTCCTGTTCGTTTTATTGTACTATTTATGTTGTATAATAAGTTATATCAGCTTAAATTAGTATATGCTCTTACTGTAATTAGTACATACTTCTTTTCAATTTTATTTGAACCATTTGCCCAAAATTTTGTTTCATGAACTTTTTTTTTTTTCTATTACGGCTTTCGCCATCAATTTAGTACTCAACTATATGGATATCTCTTTCTGGTTCAGTAGAGTAGCTATCAGAAAGCTAGACTGCGCCAGTAGTAGACGTCTAGAATGAATTTATTAATTGTAATTTTGTAATTTGTATACATGCAACAATAAAAGTCATTTATTATTATTATTATTATTATTATTATTATAAAGCCTATAAACTTTTTCTCAACAATAAGAGTGATCAAAACTGGGAAAAGTATCGAATTCTCAGAAATCAATATGTAGCTACTCTTGATGCTAAAGAGAAACAATATTTTTATAACAAAATTGATTTGAATAAGAAGAATCCTACTTTCATGTGGAAAACTCTTAAACTCTTGGTCAACACTGGTTGTACTGAGTACTGCTTTAGTAATGGCATTCGATTTGGCATTCGATTTGAAATAAACGGACATGTTGTTATGTACAGGGAGTCAGATCAAATTGCAGACCAATTTAACAAATATTTTATTGAAAGTATCAACATGATTGTATCCAGTATACCAACTGGCCTGCAGTGGAGTAATTCTTATAATGTAACGTCTGTTTTTGATCACTTCAAACATATTGATTTTTCTGAGGTGACTAAAATTATTACAGAATTAAAAAACAAAAAGGGAAGTGAAATTATGAATTGTACATTTATCAAGCAAACCTATGGATTCATTGGTCATGCCTTGCTTCATTTGGTGAATTGTTCTCTTTCCTCTGATAAATTTCCCAGACAGCTTAAAACTAGCACTATAGTACCAGTCCAGAAAATTGCTAACTCTAATAAATCATGGGAGTTTCGGCCAATCAATACCTTGCCTGGACTTGAAAAAGTTCTGGAAACTATTGTTTATAAACAATTGATTGATTATCTAGAAAAGAATGACTTGTTAATGTCTTACCAGTCTGGTTTTAGGTCTCACCATTCATGTGAGTCAGCAGTTCAACTGACAATTACGAAATGGAAAAAAAGTTTGGATCAGGGTGAATATGTTGTGGTTGCTTTCTTGGATTTGAAGCGAGCTTTCGAGTCCATAGATCGAAATTTACTTTTACAAAAATTACAGGCATTAGGATTCAGGGCAAGGTGTATGATTGGTTTCGTGACTACCTACATGATCGTAAACAAATAACCAAAATCAATAACGTTCTATCAGAGCCCCTTGCTAGTAACTTTGGAGTCCCGCAAGGAAGTGTACTCGGGCCACTTTTATTTCTTTGCTACATTAACGATATAAGCTACTCCGTTCATTGTGACTTCCTGAATTTTTTTGCTGATGACACTATATTATTTGTTTCAAGTAAAAATCTAGATGATGCAATAAATCGAATGAACAACTACCTTGCCAAAATTTTACTGTACTTTAACAAAAATAAGATGAAACTTAACTCAGATAAATCAAAGGCTATGCTTATTACAACGCCCTATAGGCATAAACAAATAAATGTTAATTCATTAAATTTGTATATTAATAATGAAAAAATTGAATTTGTTAGAGAATTTAAATACTTGGGTTTTATGATTGATGATACTTTATTGTTTAATGCACATTTCCATTATATTTATAGGAAGATATCAAAAAAACTTTACTTCTTCTCCAGAATATCTCAAAAATTATCCATGTCCTCGAAAATTACAGTTTATAACAGTATAATACGCATTTGATTTAAACAAAAAAACAGCTCTACAGAAACTGCAGAATAGAAGAATGAGAGTTATTCTCAAATGCAATAGGTACACTGGAATCCAGCTGATGTTAAATACTCTACAGTGGCTTTCAGTACAAAAAAGAATGTTTCGTAATGCTATGATTTTTATTTATAAAATTTTGAATAATCTTCTACCACCATATCTTGAGGAATTTGTTGCATTCAGATCTGATATACACAATCACTTAACTAGAAGTTATACAAATCGTAGTTTCCACATTCCAAGGTGCAACCTTTCAAGCACGAAAAAATTGCTTTTTTATAAAGGAATAGATGATTACAACAAATTACCTCCTCTTGTTAAGGACTCTAGTTCCCTAAATGTATTTAAAAGACGGCTGAGTGAATACATTGTAGCAATGTAATTATTGTTTCATGATTGAATAGTGGGTAGTAACTAAATGTGATTTGGAAAAGGCTGTGTAAGATTTTTGGTTAGATTTAATTTCCTAATTTTAAGTTATTTGTAAGTTATTTCTGTTTTTGTTAATTTTGTCTTTTAAAAAAAATGTTTATATTAGGGTTTGCTATTGAAATTGAATAAATAGATTGATTGATTGAAGCGATCCATAAAGACTGATAAATTTGGGAGAATCTGATAAAATTTGAAAATATTGAAAAACAAAATATGCGTGTTCCAGTTGTGGTTTATGCAGACTCTGAATCAATTTTAAAACCGATGGATACTCGTGAACCAAACCCCCACAACCTTTACCGTGTTACAGAAGTGTTGCAGCCCAAAGTTTTGTTCCACGCTTGGAAAACGATTTGAGACATCTTTATAATACCCATTGTAAAAATATTAAACCAATGAATCCTCACTTGACGAGAAGTTGGATTTTGAAAATAGAATCACCTGTAATATTCGCGAAAATTATAATAAAGTAAGACCTGTCATATTATAATGGGAAAGAAAAAATTTGGTGCTGCTCATTTCGTTTGTAATTTAAACTATAAATTAAGAAATTTTCACCCAATTATTATTCACAATTTAAGTGGTTATGAGTGCCATGATAAAGTATCATTTATTTTGAAGTATAATAAACTTCAATTGAGCTCAGGAAAAAATAAAAATCATTTTGCAAAATATCGTCTTAATCCGAATATTCCCCAATTTAACCGATCCTGTATCTTTTATAGTTACCGAGATCTCCATAATTACTCGCAAATTTGTAACACCCTGTATATCGTTAACAAATAGTATTTATGTATAAGACTTCATGAACAAAAAAACCGGTTCATTGAAAAGAAACAATTTTAAGTTACGAATTATCGACAGCTTTATTGCTATTTACATACCATGGGAGGGAGATAGTGTTTTTCTTCCGCGTATAACGAAACGGAAGGCAATAATATCCAATGAAGGAAAAGCATTTTCCGCCGGAGGTATGCATGTTGTTTTTTCTACTGCCTTTGACGACACCTCGATGAGCCACTATCGAATGGGTAATAGATTGGAAATTGCGACAGTTTCAGGGAACAGGTAGGTATTTTCCCGATAATGGGGAATTCAATTTAGTTCGTCAGAAAGCTGTTTTTCCCTATGGTTTCATTGATTCAATGGAAATGGATTACCAAACTCGTCCAACAGAAGATCAGTCTTTCGATACTCGAGGAAGATATCAGCGATGAATGTTATGATAGAGCAAAGAAGGTTTGGCGTTTGTTTCATTGTAAGAACTTGGGTGAATATTCAGATGTGTAGTGTATCTCAAGTCGGACGTGACATTATTGAGTGATGTTTTCGAACAATTTTGCGATATATGCCTGGATGTTTATAAACTGGAATCAGCGCAATGTTATACACTTTCAAGTTTATCATTCGATTGCATGTAGCGTATGACTAAAGTAGTGGAACTATTGACATGGTTAACTTTTTTAAAAAGATGAGAAGGTTCATTGTCATGTCACGTCACGGTGTTTGATGGTGATATACCGCCAGGCCTTCAAACCTTAGTGTCCCCTTTGTCGCAGTCATCATCATGTGTGCACCACAGAAAAGACCGGAAAGAAGAGGCTCGTCCATATCCAGTGATAAGATGCTGCGTGATAATGAGAGAGACAGGTTATTAGAGGAATTGCAGGATCAGGATGACAAAGATGACCTTCGCGTAGAGCAGCGACTGGCCTGAACCAGTTCCGGTGCCGAAACATCTGTTGGGTCATGCAGCTTCAACTAGTGACTGATCAATCCCACCAAGTCAGTAGTTGTATATTAACGATGATGAATGCTACTCTCCTGAAAATGATCTGGTAATTAGTTGATTACAACTTCCTTCATATTCATATATTGTTGTGTAGTTGTGAATTTCGAACGATTTCCATATGCAAAAATGTGACAGTAAGGGCATTTTCATCCCTATGATGTCGCAATGACCTTGGTCCACCGAGCACTTCTCTAACAAATTGTGACCTTGACTTGTCTCGATGTACCCATGCAAATTTGATGACCTATCCTTAAAAACAAATTGGATCTTTTTCAATGAGTAATAGGGAAATAAAACGATTTATTTAAACTGCTGATCTCTCAGCTGATCTTCAAATGCGTCTTTAGTTATCATCTGGAGATCAGGAAATAGAAATTCGTGGGTGGACTCCTTCATGCTTATGGACCCAATAACGAAGGGTCAACTGAATTTATCTTGTTTTAAAATTAAAGCTCAAAAATAACCACAAAATTGACACAAACTTTTCCGTTTAGCTGGAGATACTGAAGCGTTATTAGGACATTCTTTTAGACAACTCAAGGTCACACTATGTTAGAGTTAGGGGTCCAAGGTTAAGGTCAAGTGACTTCAAGGTCGTGTTACCTGCAAGTTTATGTGTGTGGAGCATATTTCATGGAGCTATAGTCAAGGTCAGGGGGTCAAGAACGAAGAGTAAGGGGTGTAGTCGGATCAGGTAATGCACACTACTAAGCCGCATATGCAACAAAATAATCAAATCCAAACACTTTTTTTCAAATAGTTACTTATGTCGTTTTATTCTCATTTTTCTAAGCACACATTATATTCTCAAATATCTTGTCATTAAAAACGACGATTCGCGTCTCAACTGGTTATCCAAATCTTCGATATCATGAACATCTTTCGGAGATCTTATTCCAAAGCAAACCAAAAACCCATCATACCATTTTTTGGGCCTTATTGCTTCCCTTTCTCTAACAACAGTATGCACACCACCAAACTGGGCCGATTTGTCAGTTTTGACTGTATTGTCATGCAGTTCTTCCACGATAGATTTTGTAGATTCTTTGTTATCCATTGTGGTATTTTTTTTAAATTGTATGTCAAACGGTCCTCTATTATTTAGTGCCTCGTTATATTGTCTGTTTCTTAAATAAACCTCGAGCATTTTTAATACTTTTTCGTAATGAGTTAAATTTTTTGCAGAATCGCTCCTATTATTCTGAGAATCTTCAGATGTTAAGGTAATCCTTGACGATTGGTTACTACGAAATTCGTCACCGCCAGTGGGAAATGAGATTCGTCCAATATTTTCGATCCAAGAATCACCGTCGTGAAAGGAATTATCATTTATGATTTCAAGCATTTTAGTGCGCCTGAAAAAAATATACAATACATTTTTATTTGTAAGTCTGAGGTCAGAATAGTAATTGAACGTTTCAGTCAGAAAGGTACTCCAGTAGAGAGAGTCCGGAATGACCAATCCAGCAGCATCCAATTTAAAAAATACTAACAAACCTGCAATCTTTGACGTGCTTCTCAAAAATAAATATTTCCACTGTGCAATCACTATTTTCATCTTTTCGTTCTATATCGAAACTTGGCATTGATTTGCTACCATATCCCTGCCTGAACTTAAACATATTGTCCAGAAAAGGCATGGTATTCACTGCAGTTTCAGTCACCATCATTATATTAACGTCATTTGGGTTTTCCTATAAAGAAAAACGATAACAAATATCGATTTTTCAATATTAAAAAAAAAATACTCACATCAGCTTCTTCAGTTGGTTCGTCAACAATTGTATTTTGTGGTTGCTCGTTTTGAGGTTCTTCAACATCAGTTATAGACTCGGGAGGAGTTTCGTATTTTTGAGTTTCATCCAATAGTTCTTCATTTGCTGGAACGTAGATCGACGCTTCATCTTGTGGCGTTGATTCTATAGTTTTCACGTCTTCCTTTGACCTCCCGTTTTCAGGTGTACTTGTCGCTACTGGATCTCCATATTCTACAAAATGGGTTTCCTTTATATTTCTTTTTCATGTGACTAATAAACTGAAACAATTGAACCTTCTTTCTCACCTTTATCTAATTCTCCTCCATCTTTTAAAAACGAATCTGTTTCTTCATCCTCCTCTGGACGTTCTCCTTCATCTTCTGTTGAAGACATTTCGATTGCACCCGATGGAACAGAAGACTTTCTTCTGTCATCTACAGTTGTCTTTGATGCAGATTTTGTGTCAGTTGCTTTTGGTTCTGTTTCTTCATCCTCCTCTGGATGTTCACCTTCACCTTCTGTTGAAGACATTTCGATTGCACCCGATGGAACCGAAGACTTTCGTCTATCATCTACAGTTGTCTTTGATGTAGATTTTGCGTCAGTTGCTTTTGGTTCTGTTTCTTTATCTTCCTCTGGACGTTCTCCTTGACCTTCTGTTGAAGACATTTCGATTGCACCAGATGGAACCGAAGACTTTCGTCTGCCATCTATAGTTGTCTTTGATGTAGATTTTGTGTCAGTTGCTGTTGGTGCTGTTTCTTTATCCTCCTCTGGACGTTCTCCTTCACCTTCTGTTGAAGACATTTTGATTGCACCCAATCGCACCGAAGAATTTCGTCTGTCATCTGCAGTTGTCCTTAATGTTGTAGATTTTGTGTCAGTTGCTTTTGGTGGGAATGATACGTGAACGGACTCTCCACCGTTTTTTGAATCTTTGTGTTTGCACGTTGTTATTGAAATTACAACCGGCCCCTTTCCATGTTCTCTACCGCAAACACAAATATGGCGACCGTTTGACATAATATTGAGATGATGTAAGATCTGACAGTTATTGACGTCGAATTATGGATTCACAAAATAAGGCTGGCCATCCATTGGATGCGTAGTCGTACGACTTTGCGGTTGTGAATAATCGGACTATTTTTAATCGTACGAATGTGAACGGCTGCACCTCGTCCATTAGAAACGATTTCTAGTTGATAATTAAAATAGAGAGTTCATTTTTTTATTTTGTAACGTATGTTCAAGTGAGGCATTTGTTTAAAATCTATTTAAACCAATGAATTATGGCGACATTCGGTAAAGTTAAATTATTGTATCTTCTGTTTCAAGCCAGTCCTTTGTAGGTATTCAAAAAAATAACAAAATTCCACAGTCTATGTGTCATCGAAAGGAATGCGAGAAAAAAACCAACCCTTGACCATTTTTTCTTTCTCTAGAGAGGACGCAACGCATTCCTCTGTTGAAGATTTTTGAAGGTCAGTTAGTTTTGAGCTCTTTGTGTGACTGCATGTTCACAAGCGCAAAATTTGTCAAAAGATAGAACTCTCTCTTTCGCTCTCTCGCTCACGTAGTTTTTACTCGCACTTGGTAACTTAAAGTACCTACTTAAATCAAGTTTTGATAAAAGTTGAAAAGAAGTTTTCACATACGAAAATTTAAACTTTACACTAAGATTATTTGTCTTCAACGAAGAGGGTTTAAGTGGCATAAGTACTCATTGTTTGAGATTACAGCTACAAAACTCTTTCAAATTTAAGTTTATAATTGTAACTGTGTGCGGATAGTAAAAGTTGTGAAGATTTGTTGAAGATACCAGACGTCAGGAAAGTGCGCATTAGTTAAATGCACCTCTGCAATTTGTGGAACACAAACAGTGATTCAGTGATGAAAATGGAAAACTACACGTCAGCAATTAAGAACTGGTAACTGAACAAATTAACTTTTATTTGGTGCTCTGCTCAATTTCAGAATAACATTTAGTTATTTTTTTTTCATTTATATTGATAGTCAATTTATTCTTTAAATAAATAATTTCAAAGTTTTTTTTTGAACTGTTTTCAAATCTGTTGGCTTTTAATTTACAATTATTTCTTTCCCAAAACCTATGGATTTTTTCATTAATTATTAAGACTTGCACAAGGTATGTCTTAAAAGTGAAGACCAGAATTATCATCAATTCCTCTTCAGCATTTGTGTTGGTAGTGTTTAGATAAGAGTGATTAAAATGGACTTTGACACTGTGAGACCCCAAACTCAGAAACTTATATGATGTTGAATTGGCGAGCGGCGGCTTGTGTTTCTGAGTGGAGACACAGATTGATATGGGTCCTATTTGCGGGAGTGAGAGTAAAACACAACTGTGGACTATTATGTTAATATGATTTTATTTAAAATATAGAAATAAATTTATCGGGCGTCGGCCAGAAATGCTTGAAATATAATAATCAAAATTTTTATATCTGAATTATTTAAATATTCACTCTTTTCTCACAATACCTTAATTCTATTATAAAAATTTCAACAGGTAAGTTTCGTATCAAAAGTTCGCCTTATCAAAATAATGTCAAGTTAGAAAGTTCAAATTCTTTTTTTTTTTTTCAATTATAAATCACGAAAATCCCAAATCAAAATGTTATAAATAATTATGAATAACGAAATATGTTTCAAAAAAAAGTTCTTTTACAAAATTTAGCTTCAAATTTTCTTATTTTACCAACTATTAATCATGAAATATCATCTTAACAATGTTTTAATTCCTATTGGGATAATTATTTAGCTTTCGTAAATTTGTCAATTTATTAACTTTTGTCCTATTTTATAAAAAGTACAAATTTCCTTTCTTTACAGTGTGAATGTACTTACAAGATGTATTTATTACTTTAAAACTCTACTGGCACACACGTAATTACTGAAACGTTAGTTTTACGACTTGACTTTATGAACCCAAAATTTTCGCACTGCCTCCTTGAAACTTTTCGTATTATCTTCGACTTTGGACTCTGCTTGTTGCGTTTGACACGACTGACCGATCTGACTGTTTTCGACTGGCAACTTTTTGACCGTTCTGGACTGAAACTTCTTCTAAATCGACACTGCTATTTTTCTCGCAATTCGGGCTTTTTATATAAAAATATTCTCCTTCCTTCCTTTGTTCTTTCGGCGACCCAATTTTCTCCCCCAAATTTTACAAGTGCTTTGACATCAAGATTTCGTCATTTTCGGCCCTCTTTTTAGTGGAATGCGGTACCAATTCTTTGTCGGCATTTTCTTTGTCGGTATACAGCACGCGCCTGATGGCTGATTTATGGTGTCTTCCCGGAATTTTGGGTTCAGTGACAGATGCCGTTATGTTAGAAATTTGCCGCCTTTCAGGGACACATTTCAATTGAATCATCTATTTTTGTGTGACTCCACTTATTGATATTTGAGATGGGATTTCAGTTTCTTTTGTTTCTTTATTCGCTGGTCAGATTATTTCACTAGAAGTTCCGGCCGAAACTGGTTGAGTGTTGTGGTCTCCTAGGGTCATGGGCGCCGGCAGCAGGGTGTAAGGGGGTGCACTTGCACCCCCTGTCAGAAATACATTGAAAAAATTATTTTTATTTTACTATTATTTTGTTTTTTTTTTTTTAAATAAAGTTACTGTTTGAAAAAATTGGCGAAACGAGAAATGATGGCCCTTTGTTCCCCGCGACAGTCCTTGGGTCACTTCCGGCTCGGATAGGGTTATTTTATTTTTATTTCACGCGCCATCAACCTGTAGAATGGCGGAAATTTCGAATTCACTTAAATTCTAGTTTATCGATATAAATTCCTTTAACTTCTACGATTTGATAGCTCGAAAAAACTATTAAATTGCGAGAAGCCCGTGCCACTTTCCACCCAGTGGCGTGAGTAAGGGCCCGCAGGGCTCGCAGTTGCGGGGAGGTTCCCTGAGATCGTGGGGGCCCCGCGGGGCCCCAGACCAGGCGAAAGTAGTAAACTGGTGACAAGAGTAGTATTAAATTGAAAGAAAATACTTTAAGCTATGAACCTCATAATACATATCAACCATTGAAAAAGTATGTCTGGTCTAACCAATGAAAGAAATATCAGAGAGAAATGTTCAGACATACTCACACTCACAGATGCAAAATTAACTGTCCGTTTTAAGTGATACCTGCCACTATTGCTATCTCCGAAACAGGAGCAGGTATGAGGTCGGGTAAATTAAATAAAAATTACACATTCTAATATCCATTGGAGGTAAGTTCACAGGGTTGCCAATTTTTTATTTGTTCCCGAGAAATAAAGCCTCTGAGGTATAATGTAAACACAGCTAGACGCTGTGTGAAGATAACAAACGCCATTTTGTAGAGAAGAATCTTGGAACTTTTGCATTGAACACTTTTTTCTAAAGTTAATAGATTTTGAAATATTCAATAAATAAGTTTTGAATGTTTTTTACATTTCCCCTATATCTCGGAAACGTACAAAGATTTTGCAACCCTGTGAACTTACCTTCAATGAATACTAAAATTTGCCACTTTTATCTAATTTAATCGACCTTGTCCCTCTTACCGTTTCGGAGATAGCAATGGTGGTATCACTTAAAACGGACACCCTGTATAGAGAAAAATTTAAAAAAATATATAATATATTTAAAAGGTGGGCCCGGAAAAATCCTTCTGGGGGGGGGGGGGGCGGATTTGAAGTTACGCCACTGTTTCCACCGAGGTGAAAACATCATAATATAAGCTACCCAATCACTTAGAAAAATTATTTTTTTTGAAAGCTCAAAAAACCGTTTTTGGGCATGGCACCCGGAAAAATTATCGCGCCTCCGGCAGCTCCTGCCTTGAACATTCACCTTCTTAAATTAGTAATTTGAACCAATATAACAATCCACGCGCCGCCACTGCCCGTATGCAGCTCCCTGAAACTAATCCTGGCGGCGCCTATGCCAGGGGTGTTTAATTTTCGGTAAGTTGTAGTTGATTTTGATTTCATTTTTCCAGTTTGATTTATGTTTTGTTTGTTATTTGTTTTATTTTTCAACAAAATAACCAGATCTATTAACAGTTATTTAATTCTTGACGGTTTTTCTTGGTGGTTTATTTCTGCGTCACTACAACATCCATTTTTTGCGCAACCTCCTTCTATTCATTTTTGTGATTAGTCGAAAGTATACGGACGACTACGCACGACCGGAAAGTCCTACGACTTCGCATCCAATGGACGGCCAGCCTATGGGGCCGTCCCGTCTTTCTTTTTTCTTGGATTTTCAAAATGCCTGAATACAATATAAAATGTATGTAACCATAATTTGATCGACCATTTGTTATTCAATTATAAAAAAATATTGAATTGGCCGATATAAAGAGTCTATTCAAAACGAGCGCGAAAAGTGACGTCATATGACCCTAACTAATAGTATTATAGTCTCCCAGTTTGTCGTCAGAACTAGAAATCAACCAATTAAGGGAGGCTCATGGCCGGTTGCATCGACCATTTTAAGAAAGCTTTAGCGATAGGTGCGTATTCCTTAAATGACATTTGTACATGGAGAATGTCACTTTAAGAAGTAGTTATCGCTAAGGCTTCCTTAAAATGGTCGGTGCAAACGGCCATTAATGACATTGAAATCTGTCAGTTCAGTGTTGATTTTTTGGGAAAAATGGAAAGTGTATGGGCAAGTATTTAAAACAATGGTTGCGTTCCTAAGCACTCAACATGTTGAGTGATTAGTCAGCGGCTATGTTGAAAACAGATGAAAATCAGCTCTAGGCCAATCAAAACTTTTCTACCTTGTGCATTCCACTAGCTGGAACAAAGCCGCTTACTAATCACTCAACATGTTGAGTGCTTAGGAACGCGACCATTGAGGTAGATTTAAAATCATCAATGTCACAGGGGCATTTTCACCGATGTATTGCTGTCCTTGTCATTTGACAGCAGCAAAACAAGGATAGGTTGCTCATCAGGAGAAATGCGCAGAAGCAATTGATGAATTTAAAAACTTGCCCTATGCCTGGGTTGCCTATTTTTCGTTATGGATTATCTTCGTTCGTCTCCTATTGACTGCGGTCATAATACGTCATAAAGGCGCGAAAACATCAATTTCAAATAATGGCAAAAATCTTAAATAAAATAGACCTATCTATTTTATCAGACAAAGAGGTAATAATACGAAAACTTCATTGGATAAAAAAAGACACAGAATGCTCATTGCGCAAGACGAGGCAAAACGTACCAAATTATGTTAGACTTACGTATAGCAATCCGTCCTTCTTACTTGCACGGGATAAAAAGGGAAGGAGAAAGACCGCGTGTTGTGCAACGTATTTGTCAATGAAAATTTCAAACAACTTTTGGATGACATTTGTCAAATTGAATATCAACTGTACGTTGATTCTTGTCAGACCACGGGCAATGAACAAGGACAAGGAGATGCCCAGCGTGCAAAACGATCACCTCTCACCTGTACTAGGTAGCCAATAAAAATGCATTGCCTCGTGTTGCGCGCGCATACCAGGTAAAAATAGATAGGTCTATTGTTA